AGAACACACATCTCTTTACAGCTAGGGCACACTGGACTAGGCAGAGTTTTACTGTGAGCCAGTGCAGCTGTTCCTGCAACATTAATTAGATTCATAAAGAAACATCATATGACACAGACTGATTCTGCTTCATTAAGCAACCAAGTTAATCACAAATATTTGCACTGTCATCATAACTCAGCAGAGGTGAGGGAATTGAGAGAATTAAATGAAAGGAGGGAAAAGGTTTACTGTAAATTGCTTGCTGTCTATAACAGCCTTAAGTATGAAACAGATAATTTTGAAGGCTTTTAGACAATCCAAAGAAAACAAGCCTAGGAAAACATCTCAACAGCACCAAAGTATCCGAGTATTTTAGATGGAAAGGATAGGAAAATTTTATACATTTTGCATAAAAGGGTTTTTTCTTAAACAAAACTGACATAAATGATAAAGACGGTAGGAGTAATGAAGGAAAAAGTAGTAGAAAGGAGAAAACTGAAGGAGTTCAGAGCTCAACATTTAAAAAAAACCCCATGTTTTCAGAACAGATAAACTAATTCCTATTTTGTATGGTTTATGCAGGAAATTATGTGGTACTGAGAAGTAAACAAATTTCTGGCATACATCCTTGGATGTGGTAGTGCAAGCGTTTTTCCCCAGCCCACAAAACAAACGCTATGTAAAACTGATCACTATGTGGCCCTGTTTGGTGGCACAGTACCACACAAGTGTCCTTTCCATGCACAGCCCAAGAACCCCGGGCCCCAAGCGCTCTGGCAGCGCCCAGCCTGCATGCAGGACGGCAGGGAGGGCATGGTCTCTCTGCAGAGCAGCCGTACGTCCAGTGAAGCATTTCTGCTTTGCGCCGCGTGGTGACAAAAGACTGGATGAATCAGTTAGCAGCAGTGCTACCCATTTCCACCTCGAGCTTCCCAGAACACGCACTCCCTAGGATATGCCTGGACTATTTTTTGAGAAGAAGACGAAGGCCAACTTCAAGACCAGGCCTGCTGTCCCATCAGATAGCAATTTGCAAGCCCAGCTGTCTGTGCAGCCAGCGAGCACCATCAGAGCACAGGGGAGCCTGCGTTCTCAAGAAAGAGCCCGTGGCTTCATTGCACTCTCAGAAAAAGTCTGTAAGGCAGCAGGCAGTGGAGAGCTATGCTCTTCCCCAGCAACAGCCTGGGATGCACACTCACGGGGAACTAAGCACTGTTCAGGGCTGCGGGCAGCTCACAGGTACCGTCCTCAAGCAGCAGCATCTCCAGAGGGAGGTTTAAACAGCAGAAACAAAGTGCTATTCATCTGAGAGATCACCACAGCAATCTTCTTAACTAAGAGCTGAAGCACAAGCTAATATAGTCACAAAAAAAAGACCTTTACTTTTTTTTTCTAAGATTTATGTCAATGAATAAAAAAATATGCTCCACGTACTATAAAAGGAAAAATAAATCCCCTTTTTTCCCCCCTTTAAATTTCTTCAGTGGTATTAGGAATGCTGGAATCAAGTAAGACTGAACCCCTTGTAAAAGCATTACATAGATTTGCCTCACACAGAAAATGATCTGCATTTAACAACTGCTTCTCATTCCATTATGATGTGACAAATTGGAGACAAAAGCTTTAAGGGAGAGGGTGCCACACAGACAGACAGACAATTTCATCACTAAGAACCGATCTCATACTGGGCAAGTAATATTACTGTACCTGTTCTCACATCTTTCAAAGGTAAACACTGGGAACAACACAGATGGTGACAGGTTTCACATAACACCTTTTGAACAGAATGAAAAACAACACAGTACAGAATAGCTTGTCTGCAGCAGTGGTTCAATTTAAAGTAACTGATGAAATGATTTTAAATTAAGATATCAAATAACTACTTTCTTAATTAAATTTCAACACACAATTCAGTTGTTCAAGATTATCACAGAGTATTTTAATAACTCTATTACTATCTTGGCGTTTCTACTGCTTTTCTGCCCACTCACACTATGCATAATTACCCTGAAACTATGAGCCATGTCTAGTAAGTACAGAGGATTTTTCCCCAATACTTTTACCATGAGCATGCTCTCAATGCAGCAAAATTTCCTATTTTTTTCCATTGCATTTTGAGGCAATTTTGAGAAAAATGATATTAAAATTAATCGGGGAAGTATTCCTATAAGCTAATTAGGCCAAATTCTCACACCTCATGAAATAAATCTTTTGGTTTGAGGGGAGGGCAGGGAAAGAAAGTCGGGCCTTTTAGCAGTTAAGGTGTCTCCCTTCAAATCTGGGACTGCAACTTCTAGGCTATATATTAACTTCAGTGTATACAGTGTCTAGATGTAATCCATTTACCTTTGTGAATATAATTGGTAATTTCAGCAAAAGCCCATTCATCTACTTTTTCCCCTTTTCCCCTTAAGAGTTATTATTTACCAAGATACCAACTGTATACCAACGAAACTGGTAACAGGTAGGAAAGGAGTTAAAAGAATGAACTGACTGAACCTTTCCCATCTGACAACATTTTGAAATTTTTTTGTGTACTGAACAACAGCTTCTTGAAGCCCAAGTGATTTATATGGGACTTCAATGTGCAAGATGTGAATAAGCATTCAGTTCAGAAAAATTTCAAAAATTCAGAAGCGTCTGGGTCACGGGCTAAAAATGAATCGCTTCTGAAGTCATTTCGGACTCCGTCCTCTAGGGAGCACTCAAAAGAGCTTGTACCTCAGCTGCTTTGAGGCCCTACCTTAGTAAATGAAGGAAGAAAAAAAAGAGAAAAAAATTAGTGTTATCCTTTGCACTGCTTTCAGGAAGCAAATATAAGCGAGAATAAATCCTCCAAGGGGTCTTATAATCAATGGCTGCGAGAGGTGTTAAGTCTTGTTCATGCAGGAGTACTCATTTAGCAGACTTAAAAGATGCAAACCAGAATTTTTCTGATCCCTTAAGCGAAACACGGGGAAGCCTGAATGTAAGGGTGGATGACGCCTTACACTTGTTCATCCAGGCAGCACGGTACCAAGTGACCAGGCTTCATTTACCTCACTGCTGTGACACCGTGAACTCCGCAGTCGCCAGCAGAGGCTTGGGGAGCACAGGCTGAAGCTCCACATTCAACGTGATGCATAAAAAACGAAGCACACGGGAAGAACTCGCCAAACCTGAAGAAACCCTCCAGAACTACGTTTCCACTTCTTAAAACAAGGGCTCGGAAGGTGGTGGCCCCGAGGCAGCAGCTGTCCCCCCTCATCTCAGACGCGTCTATTTATGGGTGATTCGGGTCTACCCTTCACACAGAACCACAGAATGTTCGGGGTTGGAAGGGACCTCTGTGGTCATCTAGTCCAGCCCCTCTGCCAAAGCAGGGTCACTTAGAGCAGGCAGCACAGGACCTTGTCCAGGCGGGTCTTGAATATCTCCAGAGAAGGAGACTCCACAACCTCCCTGGGCAGCCTGTTCCAGTGCTCCATCACCCTCAGAGGGAAGTTCTTCCTCATGTTCAGACGGAACTTCCTGTGCTTCAGTTTGTGCCCGTTGCCCCTTGTCCTGTCGCTGGGCACCACTGAAGAGAGTCTGGCCCCATCCTCCTGACACCCACCCTTCAGATATTTGTAGGCATTTATGAGGTCCCCTCTCAGCCTTCTCCAGGCTAAACAAGCCCAGCTCCCTCAGACTTTCCTCGCAGGAGAGATGCTCCAATCCCCTCATCTTCCTCATCAACCTTCCGGGCTCTCCCCCGCCCAGCACCCCCCGCCTCAGGACCCGTCCCGGGAGCGGCCCCCGCCCGCACTT